AAGAGCACAGAGGACAGACTCTCATCTGCATCTTTTTGGATCCAGGGACACTAAGTGTGACTTTAGCCAAGCATGGTGATGCACACCTATAATGCTAAGCCACCTGGGAGGCTGAAGCAGGAGGATTATGAACTTGAAGCCAGTCTGGGCAACTTACCGAGAACTTGTCTCAAAGTAAAGTGAGGAAACACTGGCTGGGGTTGTGACTCAGCACTTCCAGGTTCAATCCCCAGCACTGGAGACAGAAAAGCTTGCCTGTGGTGGACGTCATGCAAGCTTTTGCAGGAATCCACGGTGATGATGGTGTAGGAATACAGCAGGTCTCCTCCTTCGGGCGGCTCCCAGCAGTCAAAGATCCCTGCCATTGTCAGCGGCCTCCAGTTGTCCCAGACGCTCTCCCAATCCTCAGCACTGCCTGCAGCCTCACTGCTGCCTGGCTGCAAGCGAAGTGGGCAGGTGATGTCTATGCACATCCTGGGCACTGCTCCACACTCGATAGTGTGCTGACTCTGCCCATCACCATTAATCCCCCAACCCACTGCCAGGGAGGAAAAGAGGCTTGGTGGCATAAAACTCCCGCCGCTCAGCATGCAGGCCACTGCAGCTGGCACGCACGTTTGGCTGGGTGTTTGTTCACACCAGGTGAGTGTGCGTCACTGAGTCCCACGATGTTAATCTGTACCGTCCAGCTGCCGTAACCCAAGGACCTACGAGACCTGGCGCCCTCTGCCCAAATGTCCCTACACCCTTCCCTCTCATCACGCAACTCCTACTTATTAGGCAAGATTCTGTTTAAGACTTACAATACAGACAGCTGTGAAGAGTGTCCCTCTCATCTTAATGATAAGGAAAAAAGCTATAGAATTTACAGAATCATCGGTTTTCTCAAACTTATCAGAGAGCTGAAGTTGCTGGGCAACAAGTAAGCCTAAACGGTAAGGAAAGATGGGGCCCTGGAGGGGAGCTGGAACACAAGATGCCAGCTGATGGTGGCAAAAGGCAGAAGATGGGGCCTTCACACAGCAGAAAGATTCAGAGGTAATTATGTCCACTTTTAAGAACAGAGCACAGAGGGCCAGGGATATAGCTTAGTGGCACTACACCTGCCTGGCAAGTGCAAGGTCTTGAGTTCGATCCTCGGTAAAGAAAGAAAAGAAAGGAAAGGGCCGGGGATTTAGCTCAGTGGTTCAGGCGCCTGCCTCTCAAGCACAAGGTCCCGAGTTCGATCCCCAGTACCAAAAAAAAAGCATAAGGAAAGAAAGGAAAGAGAGGAAAGAGAGGAAAGCAAGCAGAGCACGGACACTTGTAGGCCACTGCCACAGGCTCCCCAATGTGCCAGAGGGAGGCCAAAGAGTGGGGCTCCTCTGTAGGAGGATGTACTGAGGAACATGCTGCCCAGCACAGTGGTGACCCGGGTATCCGGGGAGAAGGCAAGACTTACTCAGGGAAAGGAGCAAAGGGACCGAGAAAGCCAGAGACGGATGGCCTGCGACCCAGGTCTGCCTAGGATCGAACCATGACAAAGAACCACTGTCGTCTGCAGCTCAGCGAGCACCAAGTGACATGCGGGCAGAGAGAGAGTGGAGGAGACCTTTCCAAGGCCAGGCTCCCAGGGGGTCCACAGCTGCAGCAGGACTATGGCAACAGCCTTCTGCAGTTACCTTTGACAAAGCACACCACCAAAGAAGCGGAAGCACGATTTCAGCCAAAGCCCAAGTCAGGCCCACTCAGTGAGACTGAACTCATAGACGAATTCCCAGAAGTAAGTATTATTTATCTCAGTTTCTGTCTTACATGTTATGTCTGACAACAATCAAATAATATCAAAGCTGGGTGTGGTAGCACATGCTTGTAATCCCAGCATGCTGGGAGGCTAAGGCAGGAGGATTGGAAGTTCGAGGCCACTCTAGGTAAAAGACCTTGTCTCAAAAATAAAAAATAGGGCCGGGGATTTAGCTCAGTGGTTCCACTGCCTG